AAGAAATGGTGCTATTCTTGTAAAACAAGTCTGTATTTTTTAACATCAGTTGATATAAAAAAAAAAAAACTTTTGGTGGAAAGTGCAAGTGGGTCTGGGTTTTGTTTTTGTCGGCGGTTGCTGCGGTTTAGCGTTTCTCGGCGTGGAAAAGGAAGGTTTTGGGTCGAATCTCCAACTTTTGGGGGTTGAAGCCACCTCACAGTACGGGGAAAAAACCAAACTCAGAGCAAACCCCTCCAAAAGCCAAAAAAAGGGGAAAATCATTTGAAGTGGAAAACGTTGAAATACCAGGAGCCCCGACAGCAGCTGTGGGGTTTCTGTTCCGGGATCCCTCATCCCGCTGCACCCCCAAAGAGAACTGGGGGGAGCCGCGGCCAGAGCTGGGGACACCAGTTAAAGGAATCCAGTCAAACCAGTGGGGGGGGACGGGACCCCGAGACCAACCCCCCTGCGAATCAGTGGGACTGTGGCCAGGGGGTGCCCCCCCCAACCCTCCTCCTCATCCTCGCCACGGAATTTGTCCCATTTTTGTACATGTAGAAAGAGAATTTCAGGCTGTAATTCTGTGTTATGGGGAGAGACACTGTGGGGTACGGGGAGAGACACTATAAGATATGGGGAGAGATGATATGGAATCTGGGGAGAGACACCATAGGATATGGGAAGAGACACCATAGAATCTGGGGAGAGGCACTATAGGATATGGGGAGAGATACTATGGAATCTGGGGAGACACTATAGGGTACGGGGAGAGACACTATAGGGTACGGGGAGAGACGACACTATGGAATCTGGGGAGACACTATGGGATACAGAGAGAGACACTATGGGATACGGGGAGAGACACTATGGGATACGGGGAGAGACACTATGGGATACGGGGAGAGACACTATGGGATACGGGGAGAGACACTATGGGATACGGGGAGAGACACTATGGGATACGGGGAGAGACACTATGGGATACGGGGAGAGACACTATGGGATACGGGGAGAGACACTATGGGATACGGGGAGAGACACTATGGGATACGGGGAGAGACACTATGGGATACGGGGAGAGACACTATGGGATACGGGGAGAGACACTATGGGATACGGGGAGAGACACTATGGGATACGGGGAGAGACACTATGGGATACGGGGAGAGACACTATGGGATACGGGGAGAGACACTATGGGATACGGGGAGAGACACTATGGGATACGGGGAGAGACACTATGGGATACGGGGAGAGAGAGACACTGTAGGGTATGGAGAGAGAGACCCCATTGGATATGGCGGAGAGACCCCATGGGATATGGCGGAGAGACCCTATAGGGTACAGGGACAGACCCTATGGGATATAATTCTAACACACCGAGACGGCCGAGCTCTCGCCATGGCGTGCGCACGCTGACATCCCGTAACGCAGCTGCACCCTTCTGGGTTCGTTAAAAGTCACATCTGTAAATTCTGCCCCCAACCAGGCTCCCTCAGCAGCAGAAAAGCCTCAGTAGCTGCATTTTTTTTAACGATCTTCAAGCAAACGAGCCCCCTGCCCCCCCCCAGGTACCACCACCTCCAGCTTCACGTGCGGGACGTAACAGCGGAGTTTACGAGTTCCCCGATGGTGCTTTTGTGAAAAACTTCAGCTTTTCGCATCTGTTGCTGCAGTTTTTCATTAGGAGAAATTAGAACTTGAAAGGATTATAAAAAAAAACCACCAGAAAACCTTTAAAAATGCCACTTTGGGGCCCTCAGCTCAGTTTTAAGCGCTCCCAGCTGGTAGCGCAGCAGCAGCCGAAGCACCTGGGGCAGCCCCGAGGGCCGGGGTCCGTCCGAAACCTTGGCAGAAGAAATTCATTAGGAAGGATTGGGGGATTAGGAAGGATTTTCAAAATAAAACGCCCTTTAAAAAAAAAAAAAGGCCAAGTGCTTCGCCACATGACCCGGAGGGCAGCCCTAATGATTAGTGCTTCGGCTCACGTAACTCATTTGGGGTAAAATCCGCTCTGCGGTTCA